CACAAAGAGAAGTAGTCTAAGAAGTAGTTTAAGGCTTATATATGGGAAGATACTGCTCTTCTGAACAGAAAAGAGATTAGGAGGATGATCTGGCATTCCAGAGAAAAAAATGAGTTAAGATTTGAGAATATTTGAAGTGACGGTGGATCACTTATATTTAAATGTTAAGCAGACACCTGAAACACATGAATCTCAAAGAAGATACATGGTTTGAGAATGGATCATTACCAAGGGAAAAAGAAAAGGATGGGAGAGAAAGAAAGATGAGAGAAAAACAAAAATCAGAGGAGACAGTAGGTGCTCTTACAATAAAGTATAATGAGAACCTGGAAGGTAGGGTACCATGGACATCAAAGGAGGGGAAAGTTCCCCAAGAGGGTGATTGTGGAAAAAACTGAGGCGTTTCTTTTTACGTTGACTCCTTTCTCCTGAGAAATACAACCTGGTACCCAGAAATAGGCTACATTTCCCTCTTTTATATCTACATGTGCCTGTTGACATAGTTTGGGCCAGTGAAATGTAAGCACATATTTTCTGCGTTTCTTCTAGGAGGCCTCCTTGACAGGGAGGGATGTACACTTTTTATTTTTTCTTCCTGCTGCTTATAATGGTTGGAACTCCAGCAAATAATTTTTAGACCATGAGCTCATGTCAGACTGGGAGGCATACATCAAGATATGGAACAGCATAACAGAGCATCCTGGTTCCCTGCCATGAAGGAGCCACTATATCACTCCTGATATTATCACTATATCACTCTGGACTTTCCTTTTTCAGATTAATAAATAAACATACAGCCAATCTCAAATAAGAATTGAGAAAAAAATTATTGCGTGTGATAGTAGAGCACAGTTGGGGACATTTCCCTCATAATGGCTATGAAAACAGGTCTAGAGTCAAACTGGCTTTAAATCTAGCTCTGTTATCCATTAACTATGTGATACTGGGTGAAAAATGTAATGGTTGTCACCATATTAACAGAGATATTAATAGAACCTACCTCAAGAGTTATATGAGAAATTATTTAGATTGTTTATATAAGGTTCTTCACACAGTGCAAGCACATAGTAGGTGCTCAATAAATGTAAGTGAAAAAAATCAGGTGATCACTGATAACGTGCTGTAATTTTTAAAACATATTTCATGGAATGTTGTAATTTCAGAATCATATTAAGTCTGCAGTTTAGGGGCACCTGGGTGGCTCAGCTGGTTGAGTGGCTGACTTTGGCTCAGGTCATGATCTCGATGTTCATGAATTCAGCCCCACATTGGACTCACTGCTGTCAGCCTGTCAAGGCAGAGCCCACTTCTGGATCCTCTGTCCCCCTCTTTCTCTGCCCCTCCCCTGCTTGTGCTCTCTCCCCCCGTGCCTCCCCCCAAACTCTGTAGTTTAGAGAAACACATTTATATTAAACAAAATACTGAACATAAAATATACTTTGTAAGCTTCAGCTTATTATATAAATAAAAATTTTTACCATTTTAACCTGAACGCATATCATTTTACAGCGTGACCTCTCATAACACTGACAGATACATTCAGTTGTATAATACACGCTAAGTGATTTATTATCATCATTTGATTTTTATTTTTACAAAAAGCAAAACAATGGAAACTAAGTCATAATGGGTTTAAGAAATCAGTTTCAACTCAGCTTGATAATATTTATAAGGTATTTAAGACTATTTAAGGCAGAATTCCCACACCTCATGCAATACTCCAGATGTCACCTGTTATCTACTTAATCCTCAAAATGTTATAAGGAAAAATTGGTGACTATGAAGTTCTTCATTGCAGTTAAGATATTTGATAAAGAATCAACTTTATTTAATAAAGCTTCATTTTAAAGTTTATTCTAGTGGCAGCCAATGTGGAGGAATGGAAAGTATCCAGATTTTGTAGTCAAGTAAATCTTAGTTCAAATATAGGTTCCATTTCTCATAAACACCATAGAAATAGTTGTATAGGGTAGTAAATTAGCATTAAAAGTATTTTTGCAGGAATTGAGAAATGCTGAGCCAAATTCTTTATTTTGAATTTATATGCAATTATAATTCTGCGTTAATATATTTCTTTTTTGCTGTAGCATATTCATTCTAAACTATTCAGGAAATATTTACCACAATGAGAGATAATGAAAAATATTTACTGTTCTCAATTAAAGATGATTTTCCTTTTTTTTAAAAGTTTAAAAAAATATTTACTTATTCTTGAGAGAGAGAGAGAGAGAGAGAGAGAGAGCGCGCGCTCATGAGCAGGGGATGGATGGCAGAGACAGAGGGAGAGAATCCCAAGGAGGCTCTGCCTGTCAGCACAGAGTCTGATGCGGTGTTTGAACTCACAAACTGTGAGATCTTGACCTGAGCCAAAATCAAGAGTTGGACGTTTAACCTACTTAGCCACCCAGGCTCTAAAAAGATCTTCCAGTTCTGAAATATGGTGTATCATTTTTGTTATTGAACCATAAGAGGGAAATAATGGCTGGGAAAGGTTGAGAGAACAGCCACAGTGATCAAGGAAATACAGGAAGGATTTTCACACTAAAAAGTTTTTAAAGAAAGACTATGTTAAGAATGTAGATTCTGAGAGACTCCAAGTATTACAAAATTATAAAAAGTGTAGAGGTTGTACCTGCATTTAGATACAGAGGTGTGTTATTTTATAGGATCTGGCCACAAGACCCAGTAATATTAGAGTTGTGCCATTGATCAGCTATCCTTCTATGAGGTCCTTGAGGAACTAACATATAGTGAGGAGGCAGGAAAGATAGAAAAACACTGTATTCTTAGCTGGTACAAAGGCCTTAAGGTCACAAACTCTCCTTTAGAGATCTGTGAATGAGCTAGGATAGATTCTATGAAGAACTCCTTTTGTCTAAATTAGGTTAGACTCAACTGGCCAAAAATCAAATTAGACAGAAAGCAGATAAACCCTGCTTTATCACTTCCATTCCCAATCTCAAACCCAAATCAGTCCAAGGAAAGAGTAAGCTAGGTGATGGTAGACATGAACAGCCAGAAAGAGGTTGCCAGTCTGCACCATGTCTATGCAAAGACGGCCTAAAACTGAATTTGCTTTCTGGGTTTATATTCTTGTTTGGGTCAAGGGAAAATGATGTCCTTAAGGAATGTCCACCAATAGAAGGCTAATGTAAAAGCACTACTGGATTATCCTCCAAAGCATATAGGTTTTTCTCTTTTTACCTCTGTGACTTTTTTCTTCATACTGTATCATAAAATCTAATAGTAAGTGTATTCTAGATCTCAGTGGGTATCTGGGGAACCTTGGGAAAATAAGGTTTAAATAACTTTTAAAAAACTATGAGGGGGTCTGTAAGCATGCAAGGAGAAAAATGAAGTAAGTGAGAAAGGATCACTGATGAGTATCTAGCTTCTTAGTAGAGAGAGGTGGTTTCCAAAGACCTGCAATATTTTCTTTTTCTGATTTTATACATCTCATCACCTCATATTATGGCTAATACACATCCCTACTCCATTCCATACAGAATCCCAGAGGCTGAACTTTCTTGCATCTTTGTATCCCCAGAGTCCAGCAGAGTACTGAACCTACAGTACATGCCAGTATGTGTTTTTTTTTTTTAAGTAAATAATTATTCAGCTAGCTGAGTAGGAAAAAAAAAAAAAAGAGGTATTACAGATACATCCTTGGGAAGCATCTATCCTTTTATGGAGAGCATTCTGATCTTTCTGGAACAACTGTCATACTAAATGACCCACTGAATTGAACATCAGATCGCGCTCCACAGAATCTAAATACTGTAAAAATTTGTAGTAGGTACAAATTAAAGTTCTGTGTCTCATTTGGGGGCAAGGCGTAGTCAAAGCAGGACTTATTTCAGCCTTTAAGGGTGATTAGAATCTGGAAAGGATTCTTGCTGGGAAAAACGAAAAACAAAAAGCAAAAAACAAACCAAAAAACCCCAAACCCAGCCTGAGACATCTTATAAGGTGGATTCTGACATAGATTTCTTAAGACATCTGCAGAAGCCAGGTTCTTTCTGCCTAAGCTTAAGCGACTCATTGGTTCAGAGAGGATGGACTGTTTTCTCAAGCCTTTGCTTTACAAATAAGAGGAAGGAGTCAATGTTGCCCTTGCCTGGCATGTGACAACAAAAGGAGCTTTCAGTTACCTGAACTTTGCATTGCTTCAGCTTTTCGTTTCCTCCCTGGGGTCCAACCGTTTCTTTTCACCACCACTTCCTGAGCATCTCTTCATTGTTTGGATTATCTGTGTAGTAAAGTCAGAGGTGTTTTCCCTCTGCGGGTGCGAATGTATTTGGAATGGGAGTGGGGGCTGAGCGTGCAGAACCCAGGCTCTGCTTCGAGAGAATGGTTTTTTCTTTCATAGTTTTTGGTAGTCTTTTCCCAGACGCCCTAACTGGTTTATAGCGGAAAGGGATCATGGTCAAGTGAGCTCTAACCTAGTCTAACGTGTTTTCCAGAGTTTTCCCGACAAGCCCAGGACCTGAAACACTTGGCACCTCAAAAGGAGATCCAAAGTTCGCCCAGCCCTCCGGCTGAGTAGGCGGTGAGCTCCGACGTGAAGGATTGTGGGAGGAGGGGCTCGCGTCTCAGTACGCATGCTTGGAGAGTTCGGCAGCGGAGTTGGAGGAGCGCTTCAACCTCTCTCTCCCAAAGACTTCCGGGGCGGAGAGAAGGCCGGAAGCACACCGAGTGGCGCGTACTTAATCTCCTTTCTTGGCGGAGCGCTTCACCTCTCGCCTGCTGAACTGATAGATGTTTGTGTAGGATAGCTTATCTCTGGTCGCACTCCACGGGGCTACAATTTGGCCTAGGGGAAATCTGACCCCAATGAGCAGGTGGGAGATAGCTCCCCACGGTAGCTCGTCCATTTACTCAAGCTCTTCTGTTCCCTCTATAGACTGTCGTAACCTTTTACTGCACACCTTCTCTAGTCGCCTTGTTTTTATCCCTTTTCAGAGGCAGTTCCTCCCGCCCCGCCCCTCCCTCCTGCAATTATGTATGATCGGGCTCCCCGCTTGCTCAGATTGTCTGAAGGTGGCAGCACTGAGGAGCATGTGGGTCCTGGGTCCTACCAGATACCTTTCCTGAAGCGGCAGGCAACAGGTAAGAGGTAGGGAAAGGCAAGCATTCTGTGACAGGCACCTCACTTTCGGCCTGCCCTGCTTCTGTGTGCCTGTTAAACATAATGGTATCACTTCATAAATATAACAAAACATGAACTAGGCAGAGAAAATACTCTCCTTATTTTATAGGCAGTAACTGGTAAAATCATTTATCTTATTTCACAAAGTCAGTAATCGTATGGCTAGGACATAAGATGGTACAATGGTTGTCTCCATCAAACTTTAAATTGTACACGTTAGATCTGGGATTTTGATTTCCTGACTCTTGATGACTATGTGAGTCTCTAAATTCTGTGTTTCTTACTGCCTACTGTTTCTTTTCCTTGTAGTCCTGTCTGCCTGACACACATTTGCTACCATTAACCAGAGATACTTTATTTAGTAAGATTTAACTTTTATATTTCTATTTAGCAATATGATTTAAAGTCACCTTTACACTCATCGTGGGGCTGGAACTCAGGACCCTGAGATCAAGAGTTGCATGGTCTTCCAACTGAGCCAGCCAGGACCCCCATAACAAATATTTCTAATTTGCTTTCTGCTTTTTTCTAATCTGATGATTTTGTGGAGTTTACTACCATTCAAGCTGTAGTTTTTCCCTTGTTAATCTGCATTTTCTCTGTTGTTGAACTATACATTTTTAAACGAATCCATTACTCTATATGACTGATCAGATTGGGATATTAGGTTGATTTAGGTTTCTTTGGGTGGAGTGCAGGTTTCTCATTTGTCCTTGTTTTAATTTTGAATTTTACTAATTTTCAGCATCTGATATTGTATCAGTCTTCTTGGAGCCTATGTCTGTATTTAATACAGTGGAGTTGTTCTAAGCATTAACTCCCTAGCAATATACTAGCTACCAACCACCACCCAAAACACTTATACCTGTGATGCTTTTCAATCCTTATTTTGACACTGTCTTTAAACAGTGCCTGATTCATGGTTAGGACCTAATAAACATTTGTTACACACTGAATCAGGGAATCATTCCCCCCCCCCCCCCCCCCGGCAACCAATCCTCCATTGCCCTCTTTAAAGGTTTTTATTTTTCTCAATGCTTTTAAATGTTTCTATAGTGTATTTTCCATCCTTTGCTGGTTGCTTTTCTCATGTATACTTTCTCATTCAGATCCATAGCTTGAACTGTCCATATTCTGATCCTGAAGACTTCCAGAAGAAAGTCTTTCGAGATATAGGTGATTTATATCTCTAAGATGAACGTTCTTCTGATCTTAGGGCCTTCTTACTACTATTAATTTTTTGGACATCTTTATCTGGGTGGTCTGTGACATCTGAAGGTCCACATATTCATCATTTTCTCCGTTGTTTCTAGCGTCTTTGAAAAATTACCTGTCAATCAGTCATAAACCTTAAACTTTGAAATTATTCTAGACTTCTTCTCTGACTGATCATACCCATTGCTCATTAAGGTCTATTGATTCTATCTTCTTATTGTCTCTCAAGTTAGTCTCCTTTCTTCATTTGACTACCCTTGACTTTGTTCAGGCCTCATTATTTCTATTTTGAATTAAACCAATAAAATATTGCTGTTTTTTGCTTTATTTCAATCTCCAACTTTTCTCTTATGGCTAAAGTGATCTTTCTAAGATATAATTATGTTAGTTGATAAAAAAAAAGTTCTTTTAACACTAAGGTTAAAATCTGATGTACTTTTAAGGTTAAAATCCTCGTTTCTCTAAGTAGGAAGCATATTTTGTCTCATCAAAGCAAATTTTCCTCAGAGACAACCACCCTAGTAAAATATGATAAAAACATAGTTCTTTTAGTAATGTGACTGCTCCTGGCATTATTGTGTTAAGGAGGATTTAACTGCTTTTTGAACCTGATTTATATAATAAGGGCACCGTACATTAGCTGTGTATTAATTATCTATATTGGTTCTATATCAGTTATCTAAGCTGGGTAACACTGGCTCCCAGATTTCTTCTTTGATGGAGGAGTGGTTAGTTTTACCTGCCACAGAAGCATGAGCTGTTTATGGTTTTGTACTTATAACTATGTGCTTATGCCACCAATAATGAGTTATTAGCCAATCAGAATTTAGGGAGGCCATCTCAGGAAATGCGATCTGTATTTAAGTTTAAATAAACAATAGGTATACGTTTACTGGATATGTTGATGTTCCTGAAGATGAGTATGTTTCAAAGATCTAGTTATTGCTTGCTTGCTTATTTATTTATTCATTTATTTATTATTTGAGAGAGAGAGAGAGAGCATAAAGAGAGGGATAGAGGGATGGATGGAGGGAGGGAGAGAGAGAGAGAGAGAGAGAGAGAGAGAGAGAGAGAAACAGAATTTTAAGCAGGCTGCATGCTCAGCATGGAGCCCAAAGCTGGGCTTGATCCCACGGCCCTGGGATTATGACCTGAGCTGAAATCGAGTCAGGAGTTACTGCTTTTGTGTGAAGAATGACCTTTTGGTTTTGTGGCTGTAGCTGTGGCTATAGAATTTGTCCTTTAATCACATGCTGCCCACCTTATTTCTCAGAATGTACTGACTTTTATTGCTTCATGCCAGTTTGATTTATATTCTGCTGTTGGTGCCTCAAACTCCGTATTTCCCAAACTGAACTTATTTCTTTCTTCTCAAATCTTTCCTTCTTCTATATTCCTAATTTCTTCTTTGTACCTGACAGTTTGACTTATTATTCATAATTGGCACTTCATATGCCAATATATCCATGTCACAAATCAAACCTGTTATCTCACACTCCATCAGCCCTAATTCCCCAGAATCTTCTCCTATATTTTTATATCTTAATTATTGGCAACACTCTTTGTAGTGTAATTATTTATTTGTCTGGCTTTCCTACTTCTTGAGGCCAGGGATTTAATTTATTTGTTATTGTACCCTCACTGCCTCTCCCTGCACACAATAAAGTGTTCACTGTTCAATGAATGAGTAATGGTGTAGTTTAGAATATCACCTATTGAATTCTAAATTTATTTATTAATATGCAGGGTGCTATGATAGGGAGACCAACCATCCTGATTTATATGGGAATGTTCTGGTTTTAGCATTAAAAGTCCTATGTCTTGTAAACATTAAACATTAGGTATATGTAAACATTAGGTATATAGTTATGAATCAAACAGGAAAGTCCTTTCTTTCATGGAGCTAATTAATATAAACATTTTAATTTTCTTGTGGTTTTACTTGAGCTCAGTATTTCATACAAACTTTTAGCCTACTGATTAAAGATTCTATATAATTAATTTTGGAAAACTTCCATGAAGATTTTATGAGTACTGGCTTTCTTCAATATGTGGGGCTATTATGTGTTTTTTCCCATTTTTATATGAATTTCAATATTTTGCAATTAATTTCACACTTGTTTAGGTAGATTCAGTTAGAATTTCTGCCATGGTGTTAGGACAGCTGCCTCAGAACTAGTCTGAACTTAGCTTTTGTTTTCATACCTATCTCACATTATCTCATGTTTGCATGGAGCTAAATAAAAAAAAAAAAAAAAAAAAAAAAAAAAAAAAAACAAACTTGTGAGATTAAATACTTATGCTGAAAATTGCATAAAAAGTATGGCACAAAAAGTGAATACTCAAGAGATATAACATTGCCAAATTTCTCATTCAGTTATATCTCTTTTCCTCTCCCCTACAGGTAAGCACTATTCTGATTTTTATGGCAATCACTTCCTTGCGTTTCTTACAGATTATTAAATCCTGTTGATGAAATGACCCCTTTGTCAGAAAGCAGCGTCTCTCTGTAGTTTTCCTTGTTCTAAAATCTGCTCTGTCTGATGTTAATATAGTCCCTCCAGCTTCCTTTGATTCATGGATGCATGGTATATATTTTCCATTTTATTTTTAACTTCTTTATGTTTTTATGTTTTATGTTTTATGACTTCTTTATGTCTTTATGTTTTATGAGGGTTTTCTGTAGACAGCATGGAGTTAGGTCTTGCTTTTTTTTTTTAATTTTTTTTCAACATTTTATATATTTATGGGACAGAGAGAGACAGAGCATGAACGGGGGAGGGGCAGAGAGAGAGGGAGACACAGAATGAAACAGGCTCAGGCTTCCTGAGCTATCAGGCCAGAGCCTGACGCCGGGCTCAACTCACGGACCGCAAGATCGCGACCTGGCTGAAGTCGAGCAACCCATCATGCCACAAATCTGCGTGTTTCCCGTCTTGCTTTTTTATCCAGCTGGCAATCTCTGCCTTTTAAATTGGGGTGTTTAGAACTTTTCTGTTTAATTGTCAACATTGTTGTGTTTATATTTATTCTCTTGGTATTTGTTTTCTATTTATCTCATCTGCTCTTTGTTTCTCTTTTCTTTTTTTCCCTACCTTCGTTGAATGAGTTTATTTTTTTAAAAATAATTTTGTTTTTATCTCCACTATTGCTTTACTAGCTACACTTCTTCTTCTTCTTTTTAAACATTTATTTTTGAGAGAGAGAGAGAGCACAAGCAGAGGAGGGGCAGAAAGAGAGGGAGACACAGAATCCAAAGCAGGCTCCAGGCATTGAGGTGTCAGCACAGAGCCTGACACGGGGCTCGAACCCATGAAACTGAGATTATGACCTAAGCCAAAGTCGGATACTTAACTGACTGAGTCACCCAGGTGCCCCTACTAGCTACACTTCTTTATTTTGTGGCGGTTGCTCTGAAATTTCAATATATATCTCTAACCTATCACAGTCTACCTTCAAATAATAATGTACCACTTCACATATAGTAAATGAATCTTACAACAGTGTGCTTCCATTTCTCCCATCTCATCTTTTGTGCCATTGTGGCCATATATTTTACTTCTATATATATGCTATGTCACAGTAACTTAAATTATTTTTGCTTTATTTATTTATTTATTTATTTATTTATTTTTAAATTTTTTTCAGAGCTTTTATATTTTTTATTCTTCATTTAACGTTTAAAACACTACTATAGTTGAATATTAAAACAAAAACAATAGCAAGTAGTGAGCTATGATTATAGTCCTTCACTCGTTCACTACTGCATATAAAACGCCAGCAGTGTTATTCACTGGCCCCATTAAGAGGTCTGACACTGAACAGCTCCCCTAGGGTGATGTTCATCATCCTCATATGTTTCTCCATTGTAATGGCACCATCTTTCCTGGTTTGGATCAAAGTCCACCAGTTCTACCTGGTCCATTTCATCAGTCTCTTCTACTTCCTTCTTCTCAGGTAGGAGTTTTTCCATCAAAGAGAGTTTATCAGGGGAGAGAAAGTCATTCTCAGGAAAGTTTACCTTAAATTTGATGATTAAGCAACCCTTTTCATATGGTCTATGATAAATTGGCATGCCTTCATTCAGCACACACTTGATATCTCCATGCTTGACAATCTGACCTGGATGAGAGGTAATGACAATGGTTCTGTTGTCAAGTGTAGATATTGGCTTTTGAAAGCCGCACAGTGCTTCAACCAGCTGTATGTGCATACACATGAAAAGATCCTCTCCTCGCCTAGTAAAAACAGCATGGTCCTTCTGATCTAAAACAATGATAATATCTCCTGGTTCCAGTCCAGGTTCTTGGTCTCCTTCAAAATGGAATGTTATCTTCTGGCCATCTTTCATGCCTTTGTCAATATGAACTTCTAGAATCTTCTTTTCTCAAACTATCTTCCTTCCATTGCAGCTTTTACATCTGTCTTTAGGACTGATCCGTTCCCCATGGCCCTGGCACTCCATGCACACAGACTGAATTTGTTGAACCATTCCAGGTCCTATCTGATGAATTCTTATTTGCATTCCAGTACCCGGGCAATTGGGACAACATTCTACCGCTCCTTTCTTACCACCTTGGCTTTCACATTTGTTGCAAATCACATTCTTTTGCAGAGCTAGTTTTCTTGTTGCACCATTATATAAATCTTCTAAGGTTACATAAGAGAGCTGATGCACAACATTTTTACCTCTCCTTTCTCTCTGCATCCTTCCTCCTCCTCCAAAAAACATATCAAAGATGTCCGTGGGGGAGCCAAAATCACCACCTGCTCCACCTTCTTTAGTTGCCTGTTCTCCTCCTTTGTCATATAATTCCCTTCTCTTCGCATCAGAGCGCACTTCATAAGCTTGAGAAATCTGTTTAAGCTTCTCTCTTTCATTTGGCTTCTTGTCAGGGTTGTACTTCAAAGCCAATTTCCTGTAAGCCTTTTTTGATTCTTCCTGGGTGGCATTGAGTTTGACCCCCAAAACATCATAGTAAGTAGTTTCTTTTACCTTTTTCTACATCCGGTGAGGGGGCCGAGGCTGGTGTGGGGTAGCGGGAAGGAACGTGTTGCTGGGCGCAGCTGGGCAGCCGCCGCTTCTCCGCTTTTCAGTGAGTGTTCTGGAAAGTTCCAAATTATTTTTGCTTTAAATGGTTATTTTTAGGGGCACCTTGGTGGCTCGATGGGTTGAGCATCTGACTTTGGCTTAGGTCATGATCTCACATCTTGGGTTTGAGCCCCCCCCCCATCGGGGTCTGTGCTGACAGCTGGTATTCTGTGTCTCCCTTTTTCTCTGCCCCTCCTCTGCTCACGTTCTCTCTCCAAAAATAAAATAAAACATTAATTTTTTTATTTTTAAAGAGATTAAGAATTGAGAAGAGGGGCGCCTGGGTGGCGCAGTCGTTTAAGCGTCCGACTTCAGCCAGGTCACGATCTCGCGGTCCGTGAGTTCGAGCCCCGCGTCAGGCTCTGGGCTGATGGCTCAGAGCCTGGAGCCTGTTTCCGATTCTGTGTCTCCCTCTCTCTCTGCCCCTCCCCCGTTCATGCTCTGTCTCTCTCTGTCCCAAAAAATAAAATAAACGTTGAAAAAAAAAATTAAAAAAAAAAAAGAATTGAGAAGAAATGTTGAGAAGAAAATTTGTTGTTAATCCTATGAATGCACTTTTCATTTCAGAAGTTTGATTTGGGTCTTGTTATATCTTCTCTCTTCATCATGTTCATCTTTCTTCTACCTTGTTGAACATATGAAGAATATTTATAATAGATACTTTAATGTTCTTGTGTGTTAATTCCATCTTCTCACGGATAGATCTGTTTCTTTTCAGTGATTTTCCTCCTGTTTATGGGACTTGTTTTTCTGCCTTTTGGAAGAAATTTTCTGGTGTGTGCACTGTTCATGTTTTTATAATCTGTGGCTTGGTTTGTGTGTGCTTATGTGTGTATTTTGAAGGAAATTTGTATCTTGTTCTCTTTCATGGTTTGCTGCTTTTCTTTAGTGATATAACAAATAATTCTTGATTTCAGTTGCATTTTAATAAATGTGGGCTTTAAAGTAAACACATTATTTCTTGTTTTAAAAATATTTTTCCTTAATCAAGATTAACAAGATTTGAAACTACACTAATTAATACCATGTATTCTCACAGTATTGTACATCTTCTTTTAGTGTTTAAGATTCACACAAATATGAGGCCTCACTTGCATTCTTTTATTACCTGTTGAAGATAGTTGCTCTGTTCTCTTCCATCACTTCTTTAATGTGTGTTGCTTACACTATACTCATTTTCCATTTCTTAAAATTTTTTTATAAATCTTTTGCAGACTATGTGTGTCTACTAAATTTATTAATTTTGTCTAATTTTATGATTACTTGTTCCAATGAAATTTGTATCTTAGATTTGTAAATCTTTATTTGGGGTCAGGTAATCAAGAAATATTTACCAAGTACCAACTATGTACCAAAGTAAAGAGACATTATTAATTACTTGCTGTAAACTCACTTTAAATTATTTCGATCTAAGCTGTCTCTGCAACTTTATATATGCTATTTTCTACAAATAGTAGGTGCTATTCCAGAATATGAAACACTGGTCTTCTGTGGACGAAAACATTTTATTAGCTAAGCATAACTGACATTTTCATCTCAACCAGATATACCTAAAAGAAAAAGGACTTTTGTTTTTTATTTCTTTAAGTATTTTTTTCTGTTGTTTAGGAATTCCAGTTCTGTAGGTTCTTTTATTTAACATATATTAATAAACATTCTGCTGTTACACCAGATTTTTTAAAAAATGCAACAACTTCTGAGGGTACCCATTGGTTCTGAAAATGTAGTCTCAACAACTGAAGTTACTAAATGATTTTATATATTTTGGATGTTTTTTCTGTGAAGTCACTGGGACCCTATCTTATCTGCCAGTGATATGATTTTACCTTTATAGGTGGCTATGCACCATTCCTTTCTTTGGCTGCCAGAGACAGTACTTTTACTGTTGCTTCTAACACTGAGAAAGCTGTTCCAGGTCCAGGACACTATAATGTTTCAGAAGCACAGGTAAATTTGTAATAGTTATAATTGTCTGAGTTAATAAGAATCATGCTTTCTTCCTCTAATAGACTAATATGTCATTTATCATATTTTATTTTTCCTTCATATCATCTTCTTTCTCCTTTTAATCTATATTTTGTTATTAGAATAAGAGAAAATAAATGTGTTTAATATTGATTGCCTGGTTGGGTGTTCTCCATTATTCTATATATTCTATAAGACATAAAACATTGTTACATGCTTCATGGTTCTTGAGACTCTTCAATGGGAGAATAAGACTATTGAATGAATTATGGTATGTGAAAGTTGTGTAAATGATCAACATCTGTAGAAGGAGGGTGGCAGTAGAGTGAAAGAATTAGTTTTTGTGTCATACTCTTAAGCTATAGCTATTGCCATTGTCTCATCTTGTACCTATACAGTCTCAAGAGTCTATGACCAGAATATTTTTGATGACCCATTCATGTTCAGAAGCCATGGATGTAACTCCAATATCTTCTTAATCATGAATATCATCTTTTACCCTTTTCACATACATTTTGCATTCATATATAATGACTCCTAATTGAGCCCAGCAGATCTTTATCTCCTCTGTTGGAGGCCCAGGTGCAGTCATTGATGCCTTAATTGTTGAATTAGACTTCCTAAATTAATAATAGCAACTATTCTATCAGGATTTTTTTGTTGGAAGCAATAAAATAGATTTCTAAGACAGATACTGGATTTACAATAATATTTATAGGAAGAGTATTTGGGTGGCTTAAGGACCTGAAGGATGAATTGAACAGTGAGGTCTGAAGGAGGGACAGGACTAAGACGATTCCAGGTATGTCAGAAGTAAGAACTGCAATAGGGAACTGCCATTAGAGAACTTAATTCTAGAACTCCGTCTCTTTTTTATGTGTGACTCCACTCAGTGTTAAAATTCCCAGTAGGGAGAACCTGATTGGTCCAATGGTTCCTGGGATAGAGGATCCTGTGTTTGGAACCTCCTTTAAAACCACAAAGTATAAGGAAGATTTCTATCTGCTGGACAGATAGAAAACAATAGATTTCCATTACATTTTACCCCTTGACTGTCCAGTTTTCTTCATTCTAATGTGCACTACACATACACACAATTCTTTCCATATATATAATTTTAAAAATGAAATTATTTTATGTATAATTTTCAAGTATAACTTCTCTGAAGGAGCCAAACTAGTGTCTAGCTATTGCATTCAGAGATGGTCTTACAGTGTGACTATCGAATGGATCTCTATATTAAGGCCATTTTTGCTCTTGTGTTTTCATATTCCTTTTCCATTATTCTGCAACTTCTAGATTAAATGGTAAGTAAATAGAACATGAGATACTATAAAGAAGTGGTTAGTAGTGTGGCCTCTGGAATTAGACTGCCTACATTTGTTTTTCATTTTGTTTTTAAAAAATTTTTTTAATGTTTATTCATTTTAGAGAGAAAGAAACAGAGAGACAGAGCACGATAGGGGGAAGGGCAGATAGAGAGGGAGACACAGAATCTGAAGCAGGCTCCAGGCTCTCAGCTGTCAGCACAGAGCTGCCGCAGGGCTCGAACTGACAAACCACGAGATCATGACCTGAGCTGATGTCAGACGCTTAACCAATAAGCCGCCCAGGTGCCCCTAGACTACCTACGTTTGAAATCTGTCTCTGCCACTTACTAACTGTAAGACTTAATCTTCACTACTTAATCTCTGGGCTTTAGTGTCCTCATCTGTTTAATAGGGATACTAAATTTGTAGGATTTTTCTAAGAATTAAATGTTAGTAAGCATTTAAAAATAGTGCTTGACTATAGGTAGCATTCAATAAATTTTATCCATTATTAGTGCTGCCATTTTACAACAGAAGAGGGAAAGAGAGAGGGGGAAAATGAAAACAAAGTGATGTGGGAAGCAAGGAAATGCAGATGGGATCTGTTTCTGTAACTGATCATGAAGCTGTAGGTGGCTTAAGATTTTTCCATTACTCATTCTGTGTTCCCTGTCTCTTTAACAGGGACTTTATCTGGTGGAGTTTTTAGCTTGATGTGGTCACTACAGTCTTTAGTTCTAAGAAGTCTGTGCTCTGTTCACAGGTGTCCTTCTCAAGTCTTTATATAAACTTGCTCTTAGCATTTTCACTGGGCATTATAGTTCGAGGAAGCTCTGCAAAGTGTGTCTCTGTCTTCTTCCCACCACAGTGCTGTGGCCCTCATTAGTCCTGTTTTTCAGTGCTGGCCAGTGTTAATCACCTCAGCCAATACACTGACTTCCTTATTTTGTTTTCTGCTTTCTAGCATAGGGAAGCTGGAATGGCCAGGCATGGTCTCAACTTCCAATTCAGTGGGACATTTATGGCTCTTTCCTGGTTTCTTAAAACTTCTAGAATACTAATGCCTAGAGGACAAAAAGCAAAAAAATAGTAGTGGGTCATTATAGTTAATTGGAAATGTCACTCCTATTTCCACTCCATGGCCTATGGCCAGCGTATTATGGGTCTATGGGTTTGCTAGTTCTACCAGTAGTACTTTATAAAGACCGTAACTCCACTCTTCGAAGAGGGGAATGGAATAAAATATACAATAGGTAGATTTCAAACTTGTTAAATATGACAAATATGAGGGTGTTGTGATATTTTATTAATACCGGTTTTAGTGAATTCCACATGTAAAATAATGCAAAATGCAATTTAGATCAGACTTTATTTTATTCCAATTTATTTCTTGGATTTCAAGAATAAGGAATTAGAAAATGTAATTTTTTTAATGCAATAGTTGACCTAAAAAAAAAAGTTCTAGTATTCTCTATTTTTGTTCTTAAAACTATAAACAAATGCCAAGAGAAGATTGATTTCCTTCATTTAAAAGATGACTATGACTTATTTACTCAATTGTTGTTGAATTTTTTTTTTTTTTTTGGTAGTTTTAGGCTAAATTCCTACAGAACTTTTCGAACTTCAAGAAATGTGAATTTATCACCCTGTTTAAAACATAAAGTTCATTATTTTAAATGACTGACTTAGGAAATACGTTTGTGATGTGGCATAGTTAGCATACTAATTCTGTAAATAATTAATATACTGAATAATAATTAAAGGGATAATCTTATTAGAGATTAATGCAAATGATTAATAATTTATTTTAATACTTTTATTTTGGAAGCATAGGTTGAAATGTTGCTTTCTATTAGCAATTACTTAGTACATATTATTTGGAGACTTCAAATGAAATTTAATTTAATTTATTTTATTTTATTAGCCTATTAAGTCCTATACCTTATTCTGTTCAGATCCTGTTTCCTAGAATGAAAACCACTCCAAAGGGTCACTTCAGATTTCGCTTATGTTTTCCTGGTTCTAATTCTGTTCTAGTTTGTGAGCTGTCTCTGCATGGCAGATACCATCTTGTTTCTTGCTATGTAAGATTGGTTCTAGATGTGGAGATCTCTTCTGTGGATGTAGATAAATAGTTATATTTCATATTTCTCGCTACCTAGGCCTAGTAATAGATGTCCAAATTGTTTTACTTAAAAAAAAATTTTTTTTAATGTGTATTCATTTTTGAGAGACAGAGACAGAGTGTGAGAGGGGAGGGGCAAAGAGAGAGAGACACACGCAGAATCCAAAGCAGGCTGCAGGTTTTGAGCTGTCAGCACAGAGCCCGATGCGGGGCTTGAGCCCACGAATTGTGAGACCATGACCTGAGGCGAAGTCAGATGCTTAACCGACTGAGTCTCCCAGGCCCCCCTGTTTTACTTTTGATCTGAGAAATACATCTCACTAGAGTTGAAGGATAGGATATTGTATGTGATACAGTGCATGGCCTCACCCTTCAGATGAGACTCTGCCTCCTTTATTGTTGGGAGGTTGGTGGCAATATAGTAATTCATCAAGTAACCATAGCATATAGACAAAAGCACAGTACCCAAGAAGTAGTAAAGCTATTTTTCTCACAGATTTTCATATAAAATATATAGTTACCTCATAATATAATTTTTGGGTTATTTATCTGACATGTAGTTCCTTTTATAAACTCTTGTAAAATCAGTAGAATTGGTAATTATGAAATATGAATAATTGGAAAAAAATTCTTGGTTAATTTCTACCAGTTAAAAAATCAGATTAATTTTACTGTCTTCTGTTGAAGTTCAATATAAATTCAGACTGCAGTGTGAAATGTAAGATCATAGAGACTATAGTAATGGCTTTCAAATAATCAAGTTTTGAGGAGATGTTCTCCTTTCACATGATTTTACTTTTTATCTAACTTGTAATGCTAATGTTTTTGCAAAATCATTAAATTTTATTATAGGTCCAAGCTCTTTTCAACATAGGGATTATGATCTCATTAAAACAGTTATTAAGTAGTGAATTGGTGACCTAAAAATATAATTTTGATTCATTTTTTTAACATGTCTTTTGTGTATTTCTTTTTTTTTTAAATTTTTTAAGTGTTTATTTATTTTTGAGAGAGACAGACACACACACACACACACACACACACACACACACACACACACACACAGTGAGCAAGGGAGGTGTAGAAGAGAGGGAGACACAGAATCTGAAGCAGGCTCCAGGCTCTGAGCTGTCAGCACAGAGCCTGACACGGGGGTGGAACTCACAAACCGGGAGCTCATGATCTGAGCCGAAGTTGGAGGCTTAACTGACTGAGCCACCCAGGTGCCCCTCTTTTGTGTATTTCTTAAAAGCTCAGGGGCGTTTGGGTAGCTCAGTTGGTTAAGCGTCTGACTTCAGCTCAAGTCATGATCTAGGGGTAGGTGAGTTTGAGCCCCGCATGGGGCTCTGTGCTGACAGCTCAGAACCTGGAGCCTGCTTCTGACTCTATGTCTCCCACTCTATCTGCCTCTCCCCCACTCATCCCCTCTCTCATTCTTAAAAATGAAAAAAAAAATGTTAAAAAAAAAAGCTGAAAGCAGCTGAATAAGATGCAGACTAGAGATAGACTCAATTAATAGTGATTATGAACAACTGACATTTATATACCATGAGTATGTATTGGTAAGTGAATAACTTAAAAAAATCTGATTAATCAAATGCCACTATTACTATGAACCATTTTTAAATGATTACACTATGACTGTTAATTGAAACTAATATGATGGGGTTTTATCTGAATTCACTGACTATTACCGAGTTGATAAATTTCTGATTCCAGAGAATCCAGACATGTGGCATGGAAAGCTGTGGGAGATTCCTCCCTGTACCTATTCTGCAAAAAACAATGTGTAAAACTAATTTGAGATAAAACCAAGCTGTTAAAAAACACAAAAAAACAATCAATCAAACAAAAACCCATGCTGTTGCCAGTAAGCCTACATAAACGTCCCTAGATGTAGCCGAAAAATAATTCATGAAAATAATTAATCCTAAACAAGCTTGGAAGGTTTGATTTTTCCCTGCAGTGTGAATACCAGTTTAAAGAAAATTTTTTTTTAATGTTTATTTATTTTTGAGACAATGCAAGAGACAGAGTGCAAGCAGCAGAGGGGCAGACAGAGGGAGACACAGAATCTGAAGCGGGCTCCAGGCTCTGAGCTATCAGCCCAGAGCCCAACACGGGGCTCGAACTTATGAACCATGAGATCATGACCTGAGCCGAAATCTGACGCTTAACCGACTGAGCCACTCAGGTGCCCCTGAATACCAGTTTTTTAAGCTCATTTCAGAGGTGCATATTCTCCAGAGGCCTGTTAGTACATACTCTTTATTCCTGCTGTACAACTTTGAAGATTCCTATGTCTTGATTCCTGTTATAAAACTGAGTTTTGTATTCTCTTAGAGTGTCCTAAGTACAGTAAATTTTAGTTTGAGGTCAGAATTTTTTTTTTTTCAACGTTTATTTATTTTTGGGACAGAGAGAGACAGAGCATGAACGGGGGAGGGGCAGAGAGAGAGGGAGACACAGAATCGGAAACAGGCTCCAGGCTCTGAGCCATCAGCCCAGAGCCTGACGCGGGGCTCGAACTCACGGACCGCGAGATCGTGACCTGGCTGAAGTCGGACGCTTAACCGACTGCGCCACCCAGGCGCCCCAAATGAAAGTATGAGGTCAGAATTAAAACGATAATTGTCATCCTCTCTTGTTATCCCCTTTTACTAGAATTGTGTCTTTAGTTAAGAGGCTTAACTTTTTCAGGTTGGGTTTTAAAACTGTTTGTTCATATTAATATGTAAAATTTACCAAATAGGTATTAATTATAAAATGTTTTTTTTTAAATTATTTCATATTTTTCTCTCTAATTTAGTATAATATAAAAGGAGGCCATAGTCTACAAAACCGGGAGGAGCGTTTTAAGAAGTTTGTTTCAGATAGTCCAGGACCAGCAAGCTATGATCAGTTTTATCATGGAGCATCAGATATCATGAATAGAAAAGCACTACAGGTTAAAGAGCATCTTCAATCAGTATGTTCTATTTTAAATTATGCTTCTGATATTTCTTTTAGTTAAAATAGAAAAGATTTAATGTTTTATATAGTAAGTGGAGTAAAAAATTTGTGTAGGAGACTAGCGGGTGACATGTTTGAAAAGGTACATTGGTGTTCTGTAATAATTTTTACACCGAAGTCCTACCCCTTTAAAATAAATAATCTAGAAGATTTTGGTCATGGTTTATTTAGAGTGGTTGTCTTTCCTCTTTCTCTAACTCCTTCACATAGCTCATATTAATTAAATTTTAATCAGCTTTGTTTAGGGGAACATATTTTAGGGCTAACTATTCAGTTGAATAATGTCAGTGCAATGACAATGATGTTAAGGTTTATATTTATTTATTTATTAAAAATTTTTAACATTTACTTATTTTTGAGAGAGAGAGAGACAGAGCATGAGCAGAGGAGGGGCAGAGAGAGAGGGAGACACAGAATCCAAAGCAGGCTCCAGGTTCTGAGCTGTCAGCACAGCGCCTAACACGGGGCTTGAACTTACCAACTATGAGATCATGACCTGAGCAGAAGTCGGACGCTTAACTGACTGAGCCACCCAGGCACCCCTTTAGGTATATTTAAATATCAGCTATTTTGTGTGTGGGGACAAAGTAAATGTTCATTTACTTATGTAAGGATTTAGCATACATTTTTTTGTTTTTTTTTTTTGTCTTTTGAAGAAGGAAGTACTTGTCTTATTAGACATTAATCTTTTGCATTTTCTTTGTGACGCTGTGTGATATTTGCTTTTGAAAAGTAGTAAGTCATTTTTTTCAGACTTATGAATGCTTTTTAACTGACACATTAGGAATTTCTTTCTCTTCTTTTTTGAATCCTTCCAGTTATGAAATAAATAAATCTTGGAGATGAAAAGTACAGCATAGGGAATATAGTCAATAACATTGTATAACTTTGTATGGGGACATTTGGTAACTGTACTTATTGTGGTGAGCATTGTGTAATGTATAGAATTGTCAATCAGTGTATTGTGCATTTGAAACTAATATCAGACATTTTTTCAGTGACTATGAATACTAGATATAATGCTAGGCACTGATAATACATAGAAGACAAATCACTGCTCTCTGGGATCTATATTTTAATAGGGAAATAATGAATGTAATTCAGTACAAAACAGTTGATGCATTGCTATTTTAATAAACACATAATAAAATGTCTACTAGTAGCCCAACGTAGAGAGTTTTTGGAGGGAGTAGTCATAGCACAATTGAACTGGATCTTGAAGAATGATTCACTAAATAGGTAAGAAGAATGGGAAAAAACACTCCAGATAGAGAAAACCACCTGAATAAAGACATTGAGGTATTTAATGGCAAGGTATGTTTGGAAAACAACAAAGTTCTTTGGAATATTTGTAGTACAGGATATAAGGGAGAATAGTAGGAATAGAGGATGGAGAAGGAGGTAGGGGATACATTTTGGAAAGTCTTGACGTTATGCAAATAATTTTTGAAAGTAGCAGAAGCCATTCAATACCTCCTGTTTTAATTTGATAATCAGTCTCATGAGTGTCACTGAAACTACTTAATAGTTGTCTCTAGCAATAAAAAAAAAAGTAAAATTCTGCCAGTGATAGTATGTTTATAGCATAATTGTCTGTTGGGCATGCATGTACTCAACAATAGCATTTATTTATTCAGAAACAACAAAGGATCAATATATTCTTTAAAAAGTTTTTTTATTATGTTTATTTAGTTTTAAGAGAGAGAGGCAGCAGGGGAGGGGCAGAGAGAGAGAGAGGGAGATAGAGAATCCTAAGCAGGGTTGTCACTGTCAGTACAGAGCCCAATGTGGTGCTCAAATCCTCGAACCACGAGATCATGCATGACCTGAGCCAAAATCAAGAGTTGGGCACTTAACTGACTGAGCCTCCCAGGTGCCCTATCAATATATTCTTAATAAGTAATTTTCCAGATAACTAAATCATTTAAATGCCAGTATTTTATTTGCTATATTTTATACTAGTATTTCTACTATATATTACTTCTTTTTGTTTTTATTTAAATTATAAATATACATTATAGGAATTATAAATTTACATTAAAGGAAATTTTGAAAAAAGGATAATCACCCTAAAACTTCTGGCTCTAACTTTGAGAATTCTGTTAATTTTTGCATAGCTCCTTTCAGTTTATCATTAAATGACTTATGTATATTACTATATATACTTATGTATAATTCATATATGTACCTATAGTCATCAAGTCTACTTTCTATTTCCATTTAGTATTATGTCATAGACATTTTCCTTGCTATCTAGTCAGCATAATTAGGATATTTATACAAGGCATAGGTAATATGGAGATAAGTCTGGAACTGGGAAGGAATGAAGCCAGGAAATGTTACAGAAAACTATGAAGTTCATTTTTGCCTGGCAGCTGTTATGATAGCATGGCATAAGTAACCTCTTGGAACTGGTGATTGGGAATGTGACTGTAGGAGTGAATGCCTATTCTAAGCATCAGAAATACTTGTTTACTAAGCAAGATAAATAACTGAGCCGAGTTAGAGGGACTCCTTACCTCTTAACGTGGCTTTAATAGTAATATTATATATTATCTTAATTTGTATGATTAGGTGAAACTTGAATTTACTCCTTTAAATTACTTCCATAGAACAAACCTTTTTGGTTTATATTATGAAACTTATTAAGTCAATATTTAATAATTGCATTTTAGTAATTTTAATATTTGGTTCTTCATTCTTTCTCTTGCTTCCAAGCAAATAATAGAAAATGTTTTTTCTTACAGAAGTTTTCAAGGCCACCTACAGTTTCCAGAAGTGTTGATGTTCCTTCGATTCCTTCTTGTGGACGATCATATGGATATGATATTAATGAGGATGGCAGTATTATAAAACATTTTCCACCTGCTAGTGACAGCACACTAGGTCCAGCATACTATAAACCTCAATTTGTAAGTATAATGCATTTCCTATTAAAAATTGGAAGATTGTTTATAATTATGCATCTGTTAATGTAACACTAACTGCAGTAATAAATAGACCCTCAAATGTCAATGGCTTAACTTAACAGAAATTCTTTTTTTCCTCACTCACATGAGTGTTCCTTGTGGACAAGAGACTTTCCTCTGTGTAGAGATTCAGGGATGCATGCTTATTCCATTTGTTACTTTCATCATCAAAGGGCTTCGGTTCATCTGTATCCAGCTGGCAGAAGGGGAAAATCCCACTGCTAGTGGGAGGATTTTGTGGCCAAATCTGGGTATTAAAGTTCAGTTACATGGCCATACTTAACTTCCAAGGAGGCTGGGATATATAGTCTAACTATATCTAGGAAGAAGAGGAAACAGGTTTCACTTACTAGAAGTCTCTGCTACAATGTATAATCATATGCGATACATAGATATTCTTTTCCTGAATTTGAAAGGGAAATGAGAATTTTTATACTAAAGGAATTTGAATCTGATAGTGTAATCATTATTTATTCCACAAATGGTTGTTAAAAAAGATAAGGAGCTTTTCTTTAATTACAAGACTGAAGTACATAGTGCTTTGGACCTGCTATATTTTTATACTTTTATGAAATCTGGAAGAATAATCCTTATGAGGAAAATGACCAAAATTAAGCATAGACTTGAGGAGAGGCTGAAGAGATAGACACCTTGGGTGTCTTT